TGGTCCGCCCATTATCTAATCTGTCTTTCTTCCTTGTTAATTGGGTTCCCTTGGCTGTCTTTTATAGGTTTCACTTGTGTTGATCTCTTCCCGGATAGAGACTTGGTTATCTGATATAGTGTCCTCAGGTCCCTTTTGCCTGCTGCCTTCTCAGCTTCAGTAGCCAGGTTGTCGTAGAATTGTCTTTTGTCCTTTCTGGCACTCTTCTTCACTTCTTTGTCCAGTGCTGTGTAAGTTGAGCTCAGCGTCTCCTTCTCTTGTCCGTCTTTGCATTGAATCATTTTCTCTTTCACCATTCTCCTCTCCTCTATTAGCTTCCAAGTGTCCGTTGAGAGCCATTCCTTGTCCTGTTTCTTCTTTCTTCCTAAAACCGTTGAACACGTTTCGTTGAAAATTACCTTCAGAGAGTTCCAATGGTCTTCCACGGATGATTCCTCAGTGGTGCCAGGTAGTGTTTCTTGCTTTGCTCTGACAGTTGCAGTGAAAATGTCCCTTGTGGTTGTGTCCTTCAGCTTTTGCGTGTTGAACTTGCATTGTGGCCTATCCCCAGGTATCCTCGAGGCTTTCAGCTTCACCTTGAAAGTCCCTTGTACTAGATAGCGGTGTGAACCCACATCTGCTCCTCTCCTCGATCTTGTGTCCAATAGGCTCAGTCTCCACTTCCTTGAGATTGAAATGAAGTCTATCTGGTTTTTGGTGTGTCCATCTGGTGAAATCCATGTCGCCTTGTGTATATCCCTGTGTTTGAACACACTGCCACCAATCACCAAATCATTGAAGGCGCAGAAGTCTGAGAACAATTCACCATTGTCGTTCATTTCACCGAGGGCCTCACGACCCGTGGTGAGTTCTCTTCCTGTATTGTCTCCTCCCAGTTTCGCATTCATGTCACCCATCAGGATTTTGATATCGCTCTTTGGGACGTTGTCCATTACTTAAAGTTTACTAGGAAGACCTAAATGGGACACCTTATCGAATGCTTCACTGAGATTGATAAAGACAACGTCCAGTAGATGGTTTTTATCCTTGGCCTCGACCCAATCTTCCCTAGCTAACAGCAAGTTTGTCAAGCAGGATCGTCCTGGTCGGAATTCATGGTGCTCCACTGCCAGTAAGCCATGTTTTTCCATATGAGCTAAGAGCTGATCCCTTGTGAGTTTTTCTAACACCTTTGCTATAATGCAGGTCAGACTTACAGGCCAGTAGTTAGATACTAACTGCCTGTTCCCATCTTTGAAGATGGGGCTTATAAAAGCATCTTTCCAGTCCCTGCGTAACCTAGCCTGGGTCAGAGACATCAGAAAAATCTCCGTAAATGGAATGTATATTATATCCGCCAGGGAGATTAGCAATCTAGGGTGAAGTCCGTCTGGTCCAGGTGATTTACCTGGCTTCAACTTATACAGTAGTTTGAGAACCGCTGCATCCTCTACCACAACTGTGGGCATTTTAGTGGTTACATCAGTGACCTCGCAACACCCCTAAACGGTACACCACTGCTAGTTTTATTCCTGCGTTTGATGTTCGAGTACGGTCTTTTTGGATAATGCACACAATCCAGTACTAACTGCCTCTCATACTCTATACAACTTTTGTCAATCTTATACTTACAAAGGTTTCAAATTTTGTGGTATTCCATCCGAAACTCATCCCTCTCAGTCACAGTTAACCGGTCCCTTAAGTTCTCTCGTTTTCTTAATAACCTGATTTCATTACTAATCCAAGGTGGTTTATGAGATAGTTTTTGAGGCGTAGACCAAGGTACAAAGGGTGCAGCGACACAATCTAGTGCATTCCTAAATCCCATCCAAGCCTCCTTGGCAGTCTGGTGTGTATTAACAGTCAGCTAGGGTTGCTGCATTTCGGATTGCAGGTTGTCAATGTCCAGGTCTAACTACCCTGGACTTAACGCTGTTCTTAGAAGACTTTCAGAAACTATTGTCAATAACCAACGCGAAAAAACCAGGACACAAATTGGTGATTCAAGAATCCGATATTCTTGCGCCAATACAGAACCAACCACAAGGTTATTGTACACAAAGTCTAAGGATAAATGTTATAACAATTAATCACAATAATACTTCAGATAGTTTTCCTATGTCTTCTAACAAACAGGGAACGATAGAACGATGACTGCAGTATCGATGACTCCCGCCAAAATATGGAGTTGGGTTTGAGCAAACAACCATGAATTGACCGTTCGTTCTTCAACTATTTTGACACAGGTATATTCGCTTTCAAAGCATTTGGGCGAGCAGCTGTTGACCTATATATGGCAGCGTGGATCCAAAACATAAAGATGATAACTATATGGTCACCACTGCCTAGCGGCGGGGGGTAGGCACCTTAGGTCACCGACATCCTCCTTCTGGCGTGTTAGGAACAAGTCTAGAGTGGACGAATCATGTTCAGGATGGTATCGTGTTGGTGCACAAGTGTGAATTCAAGTACTGCCAGTATGAGTTCCCTGTTGAAAAAACTGTGCAAAGTAGTTGATATCAATTCCTCCCAGTTAATAGGCTGGGCATTAAAGCCATCTACCATTAGACACCCATTTTTACTACTGCACGTCCTGAGGTGATTAAGTACGAGATTGTCAGCTTGGCTGGTAGGACTTCTATAAATAGCCCCAGTTGTCACAGTGCCCTTTTTTAAGTTAATGACGCAGCTTGCGGCTTCACTGGTGCCACTGTCATGAGCTTCCGACAACGTCGATCTAATTCCTATGTCATCCCGGACGTATAGAGCAACCTCGCACCTTTGCGACTACTTACTCTATCTACTCTAATGCAGACGTACTCAGGTATGCGTGGAGTTAAGTCTACACCCACTAACAACCATGTTTCGGTGATAGCAATCACATCAGGTTGTAGTTCTTCAAACAACACTCCTAGTTAAGGAAGCTTATTCCTAGGACTACAAGCGTTCGTATAGTATACTGTTGTTGAGAATAATACTTTCCTCCATCTCGTTCCCCAGTACTATCTTCAGCAGTCCTGGGGAACTTTCCATTGCATCGGCGTTTCGATTGATGATTCTGATGACTTTCCTTATGTGAACTCCATTTGTTTTTTCAGGAAGTATTTCGCGGATGATGGAGTTAACTGCCTCAAGATCATCAGCGTGTCAGGCAGCTGGATCTACATTTTTGATTCCTCCATGTTCCAAATCACGATACTGTAATTTGAGTCCAAAGGTCCAACAATCCCATCGGTGTTTACGTCCCTTGAAACCTTATCACTAAGCCCAATGCTTTTCTCTTTCCTATAATTCTTTAGCTTCCTATTTTTCGGCACTAAGCAAGTGGAATTAGTTAATTCCACTTTGCTCTAGCCGCAGTTGTAAGCCGTGCGTTCACCAGATACGCAACGCTTCGTCGTTGTAGTATCACCCAGCGGTCTTACAATGTTGGCACTGCTTGCTCTCTTAGATTTTCGGTGCTTTTTGAGTGCTGTTGCAGACGCTGGGGCACACTGTGCCTCTGTTGCGTCTTTCGAAGCTTGGGGATGTGGTTCTGTCCCAGTCTTACCCATGGCATCAGTACTAGATGCAGGCTTTTCCCCTCATCTGAGGTTTTTGTCATGTTTTGGACATGAGAAGTCCTACGGCCTTTTCTATGAGGCCAACGGGTTACTACAAACTTTGCACACCCATGTAGATGATGGCTTGCTGCATCTCCTGTAGACTGATGGTGATAAGCCAGTGCAAACTTTATGAAACCATAGGTTGCAGTTATCACACTGCATCCCATCATCCACCGGAATATGGCAATCCAGTCGTCCACAGCTATTTGTGAGACTCGTGGCAGTATAAGTTGTATAAGTTACACAGACAAATATGTATATATACCTAAATACAGAGATATAGAAACCACACCGAAAGTCTCAAAAATGCACAAAAAACAATACTTCATCTAATTAAACCAGTTAAAGTAAACCAAAAAGCTTCTGACGCGATTTACACAACAAAAGCAGAAGTTACTTCACTACGTAAAAATGCCACTGTCCCTTTCAGAGCTCTGTAAATTGTTCGCATAGACTTGTGAATTTCATTAGCCTCAAGGAATGTTGACGTTTACACACAGTGCGATGCTTGTAAACGCACTTTCTTATCCAGGAATTCTTTTTCGGCTTAGATCAGACGCAAATCAAAACACCTAAACTAGATATATTGAGAGATCAGAATTGTAGTGAAATGATGACTGCCTTCTCAGTTGGGGATCCTGTAGGAACTATCAGACGTAATGGGACAGCATGCCAGATGGCGTGGATGTTTACCTGAGAACCTTCGGCCTAACATGTAGATTTAAACAGTGAAGGCCAGTGTACAATAATGAGTGATTTATGTTGTAGGTCTATAATCTTGGGTGACTTAATCACTGCTTTAAAATTATAAGTCGTGTTAGCAATGGCATGCTTCCATTGAGTCATTGTGGACCCCTTCATGTCAACATACGATGGGAATGAAAGAATTGAATGCGCTGCCATTCCCTTTCTCTTTGAATCTGTCGATCATGGAACTCTTTTCCAGCACCAATATCTGATGCACCTTCAGCCGGCTCTCAGCAAAACCCCAAGGACGCCCGTTAATATTTCAGTTTCTGCTTAAGCTGCTTATTCACTTAATGCCACAACAAATATTTCTTTCACATCCATGTATTCTCCATGAATTATGTAGTTATTCTTATTGTCTAACCTTTCAACCAAACTGGACGGTCAGTGAGTGAACAACTTAAGGTCATAGCAGAAGCATGCTCTTTAAACACCACATAATACAGGTCAAATACAACTAACTGCATACAATACTATCCTATGAATCTAGCATAGCAACATTACATGAGTTGGGGGAGAAGCTGGGCAGAGGCTCATGGAAGATCAGAAACCGTAGCCTCGCAACCAATGGGCCAACTGGTTGAAAGATTATTGAATATTAAGCACTTTCTTTGTGCCTGTTAGTCTTATTTACAATTATGCTTGTTAGCATGATTTAAACACAAGAGCGGTAATTCAAAACCTTCAAGTAATTTGCAAATTCCCCATAGTTCTCGGTATTTTATGTTGTGACGCTGATGAAATTCCCATCTTTCATATCTCTTTAGTCCCAGTTTCTCTTATATGCAGTGTAGTATATTATGGGTTGATCTTCTGTAAGCGTAGGAAAAGAAATTTTGTTAAATTACATAGTAAGAGTGAAAAAGTGGGCTATAAAACAAGTGTGAAGATAAAAGTTGAAGGTATGCGTGAAGAAGTTTAGTGTTCCAGTGGAGGAGTGTAGATGGTTACTGTTTTCCTCCTACAAAGCGCACATACAAAATTTGGGAAATTATTGAAATATAAAGGAGAAAGAAAGAGAAAAAGGAGACATAATGGCGACATATATTCCTCGGACGACTAGTAAATTTTTTCCAACCTAACCTCATATCACCCAGCATTGCTCATCGAGGAGGACGGTAGCTCAGCATGCGTACTTATCTTAAGTATTTCAGTCGATAAATCAAAAAACTGATGCCAATCTATGAGACATGACTTTCGCTCAAAAATGTTTAACCTAATGAAAAGTTCTTTGCAAAATAGGTGGCTGAATATTTACTTCGTAATTTAGGTAAATTTATTCCTTAGTTTTGATTTTATGTCGAAGGCCTTTGTTTTTTCCTTTTCTTTTTACCGTTGTGGTGCTAAACAGATATATGTATTTCTTGAACATATTGACTGGTTGTCGCCTCATTGTCCCTACTGTGTAAATGATGACCAGTGTGGAATGCTTTTAAGTTGTTCGTATCTTCCTGCGAAAGCAGTTTCCTTAGGAACTAGTTGATTCGTAAAAACAAATAAGGTTTGCATTTTCGATATGCTGAGTAAAGTGATGATGTAACGTAGTGTATTGATTTGCGATGTGAGATTTTTAGCTAGTGAGAATTGTTTCGATGTGTGGCTCATTACTTTGGGCGCTAGGCTTTCAGCCTATGGGTTACGGGTTCGAGTCCTACCCACCTACTTCGGGCGATTGGGTGGTACCATCAGCCGTCATACGATAAATGTGACTCTTAGCCTGGTAATTGAGCTTAAATGTACACAGTTGAAATTGTAAGATTGCGTTCTGAAGTGTACTTTAAATTCTTATTTACTTATACTCTCATTTCTGACAGTATTGTCATTTTACTTGCAAATTACTAGGCTACGACAGTAGTTGTATTGTCAGGCTAAGTACTCAAGAATTTGGTGATGTGTTTGCTTGTAGTTAACAATGTAACTGGTTTCTATTATTTCTTTGTTTTCGACTGGGATCTGGTTGTAATCCAGCAGTTTCACAAAGTGCTTTATGTTGTAGACGTTTGTGTGATCTGGCGGTCAGTGTTTTACGGCTCCCACACCCGCCTTTTTGTTGCCTATATTGTCATCCTTTGAGTTCGTTCACTCTTTTTTGATGTGTCTACTACTTTCGTATTATATTTCAGTATGAATCAGAGATGTGCTCATGTGTGACAAGATGTTTTATTAGATACATCGTATGTATAACTACAATAAACTTTTCATTGTACTTGGAAATAAAGATAGTGAATATAGATTATATGTTGCAAATGATTTTCATTGTATGTAGTGGTTACTATGTGTTCCACAGGTTTATTCATTCTCCGGGTGCCCTCTTATCAGACTAGGAGTGAAATAAGAGGTGTTCGGCTGCTCAGATTGAGGAATGGCATTGATCCATGAAGATTTGATTGTTTGCTTGAGTCCTATTAGTCTCTTGTTATGTTTGTCACTAGGGCATAATTGATGATTGATGACTTCAGTTCCAAGGTTGTTCTCAATAGAGTAAATACATTCACTTTGTCCTTTACATTCTTGAACTTGCTATTCTATTATGATTTTTTGTACGACTTAGTTTTATTCTTCTCATCATACTTTACTTTTTGACATCCCTTCCATGTATTTATCTGTTACATTGGTTTTTTCATAGTTGTATAACAATTTAAACACAAGAAATTGTTTCCGTTTGTATATATCCTTGTTCTCGATCACTTAAATAGTATTGAAATATCTATCTTGTTTGTTTTGATTGTTTTATTAGGTCCATCGTAGTCCCAACCAAAATCATCGATTATAATTGGTTCTACAAAGTTGTAAACACTAAAATTGTTGTCGAGGTTTATTATAAGATTCTCCAAAACGTATATTGCTATCTAGTTGAAGGATGACAGTTTCATCTTTAACACAGCGTAATGATGTTACATACACTGGGCGATTTCAAATCCTCCCTAACTCATTTAGCTTTCATCGTCAGTATACACAAATCTACTTGGCACGTTTAGCTTCGGCTAAGCCAGTTTTAGCAAAGTTGGCTGAACACAAATGGACAAGTGCTGGCCATTCTCATTTCCCTATTCGATCACTAGCTGATTTAAATGCTGATGAAATGTGTGTTATCATCGGTACAGTATTCAAGGTATGAGATTTTTTTATTCCCTATTAATGTATCGTAAACCTTTAAGAGTGCATAAAGCTGTATGTAGACATTTGTTTTAGAAATCTTTTAAGTATTTATAGGGGAAGCCTTAAGCAATCCTTGTTTTACGTCTATGTGTGATGTAACTAATTACGCAATACTGACTAAGGAAAGTGAAGCAAAATCCAATTTAGTCTTCGTACAGGCGGGTGTGTATTGTTTACATTGGTACAGATGAATGTTTACATCTGTGTTTTAAAACTTGTTGCTTATGTCGAATGTGTTTTGATTCCATCTTCTCGTCTTTTTCCTATGCTGCTATGAACTATGCTAAGTCAACACAATTAAACCATGTGAGTTTACTTTTGGATAAGTCTAATTTGCAGACCATCACATCTTTTAAAAGAATGATAGGCCAAAATGCAAGAATAAAAAAGAGATTGAACTGCACACACTGTAGAAATGTTGCGAAAAAGTATTTGTAGACATCACTGGATCATTTGCATTCTTAGTGTTAACACCATCCTAATATTTTATCTTCAACACAAATGTAGTTAAAAAAACTGAACCTACAAATTAGTTGATAGTAGTTAGACAAGTATGCCAATTTCAGGAGAGAGAAATTTCAACATAGATTTTTTAAATTTTTCTAAATTCAAGTTGATGTATAGTTGCTGAATAGGGAGAAATATCAAGAGAATGGGAAGTGAGTTTTCCCTATAGTAACATATAGCATCTACAATAAATATCACATGAACGCTTTGGTTTTTGTCGATTAATATTTAATAATTTCCAAATATCCATCTACAAATTTAGGAAAAACAACAGATTCAGCGAAGAAATATTTTCCTTTCCAGTTATATTCCTCATCATCGACTGGCTCTACACCAATATATAGCTTCTCACATCAAAATTGTTTTTACCAATCAACTGCCTACTTCAGCTAATCAGTTTTGTACATAGCGGAGTGGGGTGGGTGAGGGTGAAATTAAAAGGTTAAAATTCATCAAAACAATTAACTAATAGATGTTAGTAACAAGATATCTAAGTAGTGAAGGTTGGGTGAAATTAATTACGAAATTCAAGATCAGTTAGTTATTAGACGTCAGCAACAACTCTTTACATGATTAAGAAATTTGTATTGATGAATAGGAAGAATTACGTAAGATACAAACAAGTTCATAGAATTAACTAGAATTGTAAACACGATAAACTAACAAAGCCAAAAGTTAGTTACAAGGGGAGGGGAAAAATCGTTTTCAAAAGAACCTAATACATATTATGTAGTTGGCCACGAAAAAGAAAGGGGCTGTACAAATTTCGTTTGAACACACAGATTTGGCTCGTTCAGGTGAATTCCGATTGCCTCTGCTGTATGTAAAAGTCGTACTGGTTGGTAGACCATGCGAGAGGTTGGATGATATACGATAAATGACTTTGAAAGCTTTGTCAGAGTCGACTTGATGTCCAGTCAGTATCGACGAGGTGAACTGGTATTGAGCTGTGTATAGCTTTTGTTCGGACCCTTGCCAAACCAAGATGGGAGGTGTTCAGAAATTCGACGATGAACTTCCCTGATCGTACGCCCAATGTAACTAGCTCCACATGGGCGAAACAGGGCAGTCTGTCTTTATTTCTTGAACTAAGTATTGGTTGGCCAGTGAATATACAGCATAGCTTCGCTGCGTTGGAAGTCCTTTAGAAGGCCCTTCTCAGAAGTTGTGATAACATCTCACTATTGATACCACCCGTGAATTGTAATCTTAGGAAGACTGATCTTTTGGGAACAGTCGGTACCTTCGACTTCTTACTTTGTGAGTTCATTTGTTTGTTGACGAATTTAGTCGGATATGTGTTTTTACTTAGTAGGTTACGAATATTACCGAGTTCTTCGTTCACTGTCTCATTTGATTTATTATTAATCAGTTATAATGCTATCAAAGATTTTCACGTACAAACTTTCGTTTAATTATTCAGGAAATGCGTTTAAAACCAAGTGTATTACGTGATATTGCAGTTATGGAAACAGACAATGTTGGTTCAGATATTCATCTCGCTTCAACAGATATCCAATCAATGGTTCGCCTAACATCAGATGATGATTCACTTTACCTCGAAGATGAAGTTCAACGTATTAATTTGTGTTTACCTAGTGAAATGTCAAAGCTTTGGTTACCAGCTAATTTGATTACTGGTATTGTCGTAGCAGTCCTTGGTCGTGAACTTGAATCTCAACCTGGTAACTGATGTGAAGTTAATGTTTTTTAACGTAGCATACTTTTTATGAATTTTTAATCAGATGTCAGATTCGGAGGTTGATCAGCTATGGTGGTTTAACCTGCGTGAATTACACTCAGAAAACTACTCTAAACTCACTTGTGCCCAAAAGTTTTAATCCACGTTACAATCAGACAAGTTGTATTCACTGATGACGTTTCAAGCACAATTTATTGCTCATATTCCTATCAAAAGAATTACATAACTTCTAAACTTTGTTTATGTAGTTCCATTATTCCTTATGTTTTGATTTTATTGGTAGTAATATTTCCCTTTTCTCTGGCATTGGCCTTGCGTATTAGGTGTAGATTGGATGAACGAAGATTTGGTGTTCAGTCTCCCTCCCGCCTACGTACATTGCCTTTCGGATCTGTAGCTCTCCCCCACCTTATTGTGTAATTGTATGTCAGTGGATACATTGTGATTACTGCTGTTTCCTCTAGACTCTTCATCTTTGTTTGGTCAGACACTCTACATATGACTAAATTCTTATCTTCTGATAACCTGCCTGACTCCGACCTACTAATCTGACCTATGTAGTTGACCTCACAATCATTGTAAGGTATTTTGTAGACTTATTATTAACTCGTCTAATTGGGTCAATAGAGTCCTCTATCCCTACAAAGCATGTCCATCAGTGAATTTGTAGGTTTGATTGCCACCCTAATTTATGCCTTATCAGGAACCTTGTGTAGGATTCCAGATATGTCTGTTCGTGATATGATGAAGCTATAGATGCCTCAAATTTCTTATTTATGTTATGGTTAACAGTTTCGCTTTAATTCTCCTTTTCTTGTGGGCTTTCCCGAACTTCCTAGTGAATTCTATGGGATATTTATTCAGTAATAGCGTTCCTTTTATCTGTTTCATTTCATTATTTGGTTTTTCTGACGTCTTGTTATTAGACACATAACTAAGTCCTACCTTACAAATCACATAAAACCTGAATATCTCTTAGAGTTCTCCTGACTTTTCATAAACACTGGTGAATAATTTACCTTCTGTTCGTTTCATTTTACAACCTAACATGGTTAATTCTTTTTGTTCGTTTTCTAACTCAAGTGCACATTTACTTCCGTCTACTATTGAGTCTATATATATGAATAATCTAAAGATATGTTCTGTTTTTAACTCGATGAAAGTGTAATCCACAAATGTTTATCATAACTTTAGGGTCGAACTAAATGTTTTAGGAGCCATATTTTCCCGACTATCCATACAGATATCTGTTATAATTGGGGAGATTATTGATCCCATTGCTAACCCTTCTGTGTGTTTATACATTTTCCTTGAAATTTGAAGGCAGTATGCGTGAAACAGAATTGGATTCTTAGAATAATTTTCTCAACGTATAGGTTTGTTCTGTGAATAAGTCCAGGATCACTCACTTTGTTCTATTAACAGTTGGTGAAGCTTCTTTGTCAACCTTATCATTTCCTGTGTCATTGTTTTCTTCCATTAACTTGTCAAACTTCCTTATTTGTACGTGTTTTGTCCTTCTAACAGCAAATTTTCTAACTGTTTTGGAATGTTTTTAACTAAGACTTTGTAGTTGTTGCTGTTCATAGCACATTTGAACTGCTCAATCTCATTTAGCATTTCGATTAGTTTCCGAATAATTTCGTGAATGTCCCCTCTGAAGTGTTCCATTGCTGCTGTTAGTTTGCTTGTTGTAATTCGAGTACATCGGCATAGGTATTTAGGAATTATATGGTTTTTCAAATATAGAGTGTTGAAATACGATGATTTGTGTATCGTGCTTCAGTACGCGAAAGTTGTGTGTTTGTTGATAAACTTCCTCCTAATAGGAAGACCACATGTTCCATCAATATAAGAATAGAATTCAGGCACTGTGATAGAGAGTTTAATTCCATCACAGATCAATTTGATATGGTAAAAATGCACAGTGATACAGCATTATTCACTAATAACTACGGATGCATGTATCGTAATGAACAGTTTAGTTGCCTGAACTTAATGGTCTGTCTTGTATGTTTAGACTTGCTTACACTAGATCGTGATTGATACCAACATCTATATTGATAAGACCAGTGAGTTTAACTAGGTCACTTTCTTCAATGTGGGTGAAAGAAGTGTACGGACGCGTATCCAATAACGTTGTTATAAGATCTAGATATGTGATGGTGAGGCTAACTGTGGAATGTAGTAGTCTAGGTGGTGTGACTCGCGTGAAGAATACTTATCTGAGGTTGTGTTAGGAGGAAACATAAGTGGATTTTACTTAGTGAAAATGATGAGCAGCAGTCCACTTAGAAAATGTAAGTCAGCACATAGTTTTGAGAATGGATGAAGCTGCGACATACTGATTTTATGGAGTTAGCTAAAAAAAGCTTCATAAAAAACTCGAGTGATAAAGGCTGCAGTCCTTCCAGTGAATGTGTTGTTGCTAAATATAGCGGAAGTTTTCCACTTTGTGACCCATAAAGTCCGTCTCTGGATAGTCTTCAATTCTCCAATCACATACTGCTACCCAGAAGACAAATTATTTTCCAGGTGTATGTAAACAAAGTTTGATAGTTAGGTGAGAATGTCTTGATGTGATTATGAGTAATGAGTTGTACTCGAAACATCGTGAGTAAATGATTCTGTATCACTGTAGGTTTTGTGAAAGTAAATTATTCTGTCATGGCATTATATTGTATGGCGGTGCCTAGATTCAGTTCTTATTTTATTGATGTTTGAAATATTTAAACTATCACGGAATGCCAATTTATGCTTCTTAAAATCTGCGAACTCAATGCATTGTCGCTACTGGCATCGTTCATTACATCATAGTGTTTTTCACCCTTACAGCTAAGATTTTATTTTGATAAATCACAGTGTTGTACAGTAATATTAACTGATGACGTTTCGAGCACAAACTACTGCTCATAATCATATCAAGTTGATATGATACTTGTCGAAACGTCATCAGTTAATTTTACTGTACAACACTGTGTGATTTATCAAAATAAAATCTTATCCATAATGGAGTTATGCTCTACCACAGTGCTCAAGCCTTATACTTATATCAATAGCGTTTTTCACTTTACGATGGATGCTGTATTTGAGTCTCGGTGACAACACATGGCTCATCGGTTCATGCAGTCGACTTTCAGCCTATTGTTTTATAGTTTCGAAAATTTTCCCACCAAATTCAGTCTGTTTAGTATGATCATAATGTGTGAGTCCTAGATTAGTAAATGAAAATGTTTTCTGGGTAATTGATTTCAAACAAATAACAACAGTAAACTTATTTTGCAGTGGAAGGCTATTACTGATTGATTGATTGATTGTGTTATCAAGGCATAAAATTGCACTAAAATGCACCATCTCAACTTGCTACGCTTCAGACAGGAGCAGAGTCGGATAGAAATGAAATGTATTGAGTTAAAATGGGACATTAATATAATGTGTAAAACTTGGGCACTGTCATCCTAGGATGACAGTTTTGAAATCTAATGTCACGGGGTATAGGGAGAGATTGATAACAGAAGCTTTGTTTACCGAATCAACTGCAAATATATGTAATAGGAATGATTCATCACCTGTCCCCGATATCTGAAAAATTCTACAACCCCTAAGACAAATAAGAGAAAACAAAGAAAACTATAAAACTCAAGTTTCAAAGTCGTGTGATCACAATTGATATGATTGTGAACAATAAATTTTGTTCGAAACGTCATCCAGTAAATAATACTGTTTCACTGTGTGATATATCTGTAACAACAGAAGACAAGGGCCAGGCTACAGATCATCTATATGTTGGCTGTATCCACCTACGCAAAGTTTGCTGTGGTCGGTTTTTGAATCAGTCTTGTTCATATTTTCTCACGACCAATCTTGAGAACGTAAACATTGACGTAAATTACTGTCTACCAATTTGGCTAGTAGACAGCTCTCACCACATATCTAATAAACAAACTAATATGGAATTAAAATGGGATAATCTTGAAATGTAGGTAGTTTTAAAGTTTGGATGATGACTAGTAGTGAATACATTTGCGCTCTATTATGATCCATACCACCAAAAATTTGTGAACATTGATTCTCAGCATCCCAATAACCCAAACCAACAACTTTTTACTTGGATGGTATCCACAGTGGAAGACTTCATTGGTTGGTGGAGCTCTTTTTCAGCATAATCCTATGTGTCCTAACATTGTTTTTCGTTGCGAGACGTTGGCTTAGCATACGTAACATATGCTGAAGGCATGCAGATGAATCGGGACTGGATTAAGAATCAATGTACACTAGTGAAGGTAATCGTTGTCAATGGCGCAGATGTATTCAGTCTCTTTAACCTTTCATATTCCTTTCTACCATTACTCATTCCGTTTCACTCTTATACTTGTCTAAATTCTATTGATTTTCTTCACTCATTTTCTTGTCTACCTTTGTGTTCTATTGATGCAACTCGAACTGCTGCACTTCGATGCCAAGTTCTATGTTGAATCCAGCAGCAGCAGCAGCAGCTGAAGGCATCTTAATCGATGACTAACTTTCCTTCCTTACGTAGGACTGTATACGACTACTCTGACTGCATTGCGCCACCAAGTACGAGATTGAACTTGGGCAATAATCGTGTATGACTGATGGCATATATTTGTTGATTTGGTATTAATCCAGGTGAATTCGATTGAATGTTTGTTGTAATGTAAAGTTATAACCATTACTTTGGCTTTTATTAACTTGGTGTTTTATTCAGATACTTAATTGAGTTCTTGCATAAGACATCAACTCATGTAAATGATAGTTTGCTTCTTTTTTATCACAGGTTTCTTTCATGTAGAAGATATCATGTTCTTGGAACCTCAACCTGAAAGGCCTATCGCAATCCATACGATTTCTCATGCTGATAGCAATCCTGCAGTTTTTCGTAGCTCAGGTCCTTGGCTTGGTGTTGTTTGTGGTTTAGGCTTTGCGGGTAGTGGTCGCGTTAAACCTGGACATTCAATGGCTCTTCAACTACTTGCTGATTGGATACGCTGTGCTGGGGACTTTGATGGTACAATGGAGTCCCATACAAATGCTGGTTTGGTCCGTCTCTTGATCTTAGGCGAATCGATTAGATCTTCAGGATCGACTATGGATGAAGATAGTGATAAGGGTACACCAGCTATGCGTCTTACACAACGTGTATGTTTAAATGGGATTTTCGTTTTTACGATATAAGTATGCTGTAGTTGTCTGTTTTGGTGTAAAAATGTCAAAGTTTGTATGTGACAAATTCATATGTTTTAGTAGCGAATTCTTTGAGGGAAACATTTTAGTCTACATTTTAGTACTATCTGTAAAAAGAAGTTCATTTTTATGTCCTCTCCTCTCTTCCAATATTGCAAAGTGTAACAAGTTCGATAAATGCACTTTTGGCTGGGGTTCTGTATTCTACTTGTGGGTTAATGTTATCGGTATAAAATTGAAATCGTGTGCTTCGTCTAAACTTATTACTATTTGTTTTTGTTTATAAAACTGTAATTCAGTAGGATGTGATTGCGTCTGCTACTGTGGTGCTGGGTACGTCGTCCATACTCCAAACGAATCATCTCGAACACTTACTTTTATGGTTCTATGAAGGAGAAGAAAAATTCCCCTTTACCTCTATTCTAGAACACATGATCGACGTCGAGCGAACCTCCTAACCAACTTCAAAGTCATCTACAGATTACGCGGAAATCTTGCCAAACTTCTTCAAACCACACATGGCAGCAGTCCACATGTTGAATCGCAAACTCTGCGTACAGAAGAAGTTTGTTCAGTCACTGAACCGACAATGGACCTAATTTTTCTTAACCCTGGATACGTATTTTCTTGTTGATCCTGGTTTCTTATTTTCTTAATCATATTTATTTTCCTCCTCTCAAGTATTACATTTCTATTCTATATCATACTGATATTGATTCTTTAAATTTCAGTTGAGTTCTGCTCAATCCCGTCCATTAAATTACGTCATACACCTTACTTGTTTAGTTTCATTTTCGTTTCTACCCGACTGTCTCTGTACTACGCAATTGTTATCTAAAATGTACAACTCTGGTGATACATCTTTGGAGACACTGCTTTTGTTACTAAGACTATATATATATATATATATATATATATATATATATATATATATGCGATTGACTATACGGATCAGAGACTTGGCCAGTGCGTCATAAAGAGCATCTCAAACAAACTACAGACCTTCATTAACAGTTGTCTTCGCTGAATACCACTCAAGATCAGATGGCTGGCCGGCCAGAGTTGATCAGCAACAGAGATCTCTGGCAATGAGCGAACCAACTCAGCAGGAACCAATTGTGAAACAAATAGGCAGGAAGAAATGGAGATGGATTGGCTGGCCATACTCTGAGGAAACAATCCATCAAGTGACATCACTAGACAAGCCATTGCTCAAGTGGAACCCGAAAGAGAAGCGGCGAGTTGGTCGTCAGTGTGAGGGTGACTTGGAGGAGGTGATGTGAAGAGGAGATGAAAACGTGTGGGCAGACTTGGAGCCAGGTGAAGACTCTAGCAGAGAACCGAAGTCAATGGAGCCCTATGTTCCTCTAGGAATTAAAGGAAACAATATAATAATAATAATAATAATAATATGCGATTGTACAATTTGAAATGATATCACTGAAAAGAGTAGCTCTCTGCCTACACCTTTCCTTTTATATGGCTTAATGGGGATTTTTAAATTGCTGAACAGTTTTCTGCATTACTGCGGCAAACTTACAGTAATGAAGACAAAGATACGGTTTTTGGGAGAATATAAGACTGTAAAAAAATATCACACGATGGCCTACTTAAATCAATGGGCTACCAGAATTTCCATCCATCAAAATGTTGCTTAAACTCTTCAGTATTCCTTACTGTTTTAATCGTACAATTATATCAAATGACCGCTACATGAACTCATGTGCATATATAATTAGCTTCCAACTGAACACTGTGCAATTCTTGAAGGAAATGAAGAAAAAGCTTACGGAATTGGTTCTTTCTTCAACAACAACAACAACGCCACGTCACATGATAAACTTCAGATTATTACTTTGCATGTAAATCCTGCTTGAAGAGGAAATATTTCAGAACTAAATATGCTGAAAATTTCTGTACTATATGTTCACATATTGTCTGAAATACAGGCCTTATCGTTATTATTGCTCAATACATCTCAAACCATTTGAAGTGTACATTATTCATCGTTATATTCAGATGTACCAGTTCCCTATTTAAATTGTCACAGCAGTGTAATGTTTGACGTGTAATTGTGAAAGGAGCTGTAAGAGTTGAAGTTTGCTATTTTTGGTCTCTTGTTATGCAGTTACTGACAGTAACAGTAATGTTTACTGGATTCTAGTTATTTTTATTTTCACCTGTAATCTTGGTTTTTTTTCTCTTTTTTTGACCAGGCTCGCTACTTAACTCGTAATGCAGATGCAGAGACCGTTACTGCTATGGCTCGTCTAGACCAATGGCTAGCCAGTCTTCCTATTGGACCAGGATGCAACAATGGTAGTACAGCTAGTAATGGTATTGCCATAGATTTATTACCTGGCCCATCCGATCCAACGTCATTGCTCATGCCTCAACAGCCTATTCATTCAGCTGCACTGCCTTGCGCTGTTTCCCGTTCAGGTGGTGTCGGAAGTGGAAATTTATGCGGTCGTACTAATCCATATAGCTTTCTATTCGAAGGTCGACGTATTCTTGCTACTTCTGGTCAGGGTGTTAATGAATTGTATAGGTAGGATTTTTAGCTTCTGTGTTAAACATTTACATACTTGTCAGTTTATAGATAATTCTCTTACACTATTTCCTAACTACTTATTCCTTTGAGTGAAAAGTAAAGTGACATAAGATTTACTGAGTTTACTGATCATCCAATAATGAGGATAATATCCCATGTTTAGTGGTAGTAACTAAATTTCCGCCTCCTTTCTGTGAAATATTTGTCCTCGCACACGCATTTACAATCTTTTTCTGTGTAGTACCTAGATCTCTGATGTCAAACGTAGTATTACTCTCCACCTAACTATATTACTTTTTTATAGTTAGGTGGAGAGGAGTTAATCACTGAATCTGTGTTCATCGAATCAATGTCGAACACGTGCAGTCGAAATGACACAATGCCTATACCTACATATTGGGATTACGATGAATAGCATGGGGACGAGAAATATATATATATATATATATATATATATATATATATATATATATAGTCCATATTAGCGCATTGGTAGTAAGGTATTCAGTCAGACATTTACGCTACTACGAACAATTTAAGCCCATGTCATCAAAGGTTTTTAACCCTTACTGTTTAGCAAGCGAATCTCCATTACTCCTTCTTTCGTTTCCGTTTAATCATTATATACCTGAGTTTATATTAGACGATAACTAGGTAAGTAAGTACTCAAAGTAGCTTGATCTGTTAGTCACAAATTAATTGACTTGTTTACACTCAGTTTATTGTCTATTATTCCAAATACACTATATTCATCACTCATTTTGTTAGATGGTTGGGGGCAATCGTCAGAAGTTTTAGACCTAGGGTTTGTGCTTACTGACATTCAGCAGTCAGCAAGACGTTTATCTGCAATCTCGAAGGAATTTAAGTCCCTTCTCAGGTTCAAACCTGGGTCAGTCTGTGCTGTAATCAGAGACAGTGTCACTGAACCAGTCGGGCTGGCTATTGTGACCTCCTTTAGGTATATAATGGGTGATAGTATGATACTAGGAATGCCTACAATGGTGGCCACACTTCAAACTTGACTGATAAAATTCAATCTGCACCAGTACCAAGGACTAGACGCACGACATTAGTTACTATCTAGTGTCCAATCGAAGTAACATCGCTTATTTTGTTTGTTGCGAGTGAAATTCTTCATTTGTTATCTGCCTTTAGCATAGCTAATGATTATTTCAATATGTATAATAATATATATATTATTAAGCATCACAATGGATAACTGTTGTTTTGTTATTTTTGTTTATCCTTCTTGTTAGGTATACAAAATTAGAGAAGGCTTGTGATAGAATGGAAGCCACTTTACTTTGGGGTCATTTAGCACCTACTTGCCCTGATACATTAGCAGGATATCCAATGATTGATAATGATCCACTTCTTCTACACTCATCCTATTCTACTGAATTTTCCAATAATATTAGTCATGATTATCCTGATATATATATTGCTGGCTGTCAACCTGAAAATAATCCATCATGGCGACGTGCTAGATTACATTGGAATGAAGAAATAAGTGAAGAGAATTCAGGCGCACTCTTAGTATCTGTACCACGTTTTGATTCATCATATTCTATTGTACTTGTCAATTTAAGATCACTTGAATGTCGTGTAGTTCGTATGGATTTAAGCCTATTAGATGAAGAAGATAATTAAATTGTTGAAAGTTTCTCTTTCTTCTTTTTGGCATATTTACTCTTGTATATGTACCTTTCTTGATGTAAATGTTTGCACTCATATCCGACATATTTATTTGTTTACACTTTATTTTTAGAGAAAAAAAGATTTTCTTATTTAAATACATATAGAAATTTGCACACAGGCTTTTTATGTCTTACACGTGTATAATTCTCTCGAAATCCTAGTTAATTATGGAACTTGTAAAACGCTTCACAGTTGAACTGTACCTCGTAACATTGTTATAGAAAATGACCGAATGGCTTCAGCATAGAAATTTCTACAAAAGTGCACCAGTTCAACTTGCCACATTCTATGCAGCACACAAGGGGAGACAAGAGAGAGACGGGGGGGGGGAAGATTCAAAAGAATGATAATAAACATAACTGTGAGGGAGGAAGAGTAGTAACATGGTTAAAAACAATGGCTGGATTCAACATAGAACTTGGCACCGAAGTGCAGCAGTTCGAGTTGCCACGTTCCAAATAGCACACAAAGGTAGACAAGAAAATGACTGAAGAGAATCAATAGAGTTTTGACAAGTATAAGAGTGAAACAGAATGAGTAATGGTAGAAAGGAATATGAAGGTTAAAGAGACTGAATACATCTGCGCCATTGACAACGATTTTGAGCCATGTCACCTATTGTCTCCAGCCATTGATTCTTAGAGTCCCGAGGGCCCCAACCCGGAAGTCTGCATCTCCCTACCTGACTCAGTTTAACTGTCAGGGATTTTATGGATTGATGCCATGTTTTTGTTTGGCCATTGCTTACTCTTTTCCAACCTGCACCTATATCAGCTAGTAATGCCCGTCGGGGGAGGCGATGGTTAGGCATGCGCAGCACGTGACCTAACCATCTCAATCTATGTAACTTTATAGCCTCTTTGATTGATTTTCCCTCTTTGCCCAATACTCTACGCCTAACGTCAACATTACTTACCTTATTATGCCACCTAACGTGAGAAAGAGATCGTAGACATCTATGATCAAAAACAGTCAACCTTTTCATGTCTCCCGACCGAAAGCTGCTACCTTGACGTGGTGGTCGGGCTTGCATATCACAATCACCCAACGAGCTACACTGGCTGGAAATTATGTTCCTGTAGGTCCTACCATGCCAGAAAGGTTGTTTGGATAGCTGTTAGACAAAAAGCAGCTACCCAATCCAATGCTATGACTCAAACAAAATATCATGCCGGATCGGTCGGGGCCCGGATTAACAACGACCGCGCTTCCTGCTGCCGTGTCACAGGGCAGAAGTGATAAATATGCTACTGAGACACACCAAATAAAAAATAACAAACAAAAACAGGCCGTGCGTGACCGGCCTCAAGCAGTTGTCCCCTGGGCTCTGCGGTCACGCAACCAACTTCCACGGTGTGGGCAGCCGGGAAGTAACAATCGCCCTCACAATCCGAAGTGCACGCGAAACCTCTCTAATCCTCACTCATCTTTGTCTTCATCTTCATCTCTATTATCCTGCCTTCCCTCTACTAATGCAACTCCTCTACTTGATGGCTCTTCACTTCCTCTTCACTCTGTGTGCACTGAAAACGATGGTTAGAAACAATAGGGTTTAATGGGTACTTTGGTCCACAAAGAGTGAATACATCTGCGCCAGCCATTGAGAAGGATTTTGAACCATATCATCAGTTGTCTCCAGCCATTGGTTCTTAGAAAATCGCGAAGATTCCAACCAGGAAGTCTACACCTCCGTAGGTGGTGGCTTGCTCAAACCACCTGTCAAAGATATCATCGACTGATTCCATGTTTTGGTTTGTCCACCACTGGCTCCATTCTAACCTGATCCTATGTTAGCTAATATTGTTCTTCGAGGAAGGCTAGTCATGCATGACACTCGTCTTAGCCATCTCAGTCAATGCACCTTCACAACCTCATCGATTGATTATCCCTTCTAAGCTAACACTTGACTCCTAACATCGATATGGCTCACTTTATTGCAGTATTTAAGACAGGAGATAGAACACGGGCACCGTGTTTGTGTTGCCCGTGTTCTACACTAACATGGTGCTCTTTGCGTCTAATATTTATGAAAAAATATGCGAATTTTTCACTCAGTTTCCTACAGCCGGTTCACTTTATTAGTTTGAATGAAGAAAGAACGAACATATTTTCAGTTTTGATGATACGAGCTCGTTTTATTTCCGTGGATTCTCCTCAACTGCGTACATCCTAAATAAATCAATTATATGTTACAAAATTTATGAACATACTTTTTACAATGATTTCAAGTTATAGATAGAAAGTATCAACAACATAATTTCAAAGATGATGTAGGTAGACAATTGGAAACAAGGATGGACTACAGGCAAGATACAAGATAGAACTACAGAGTTAATTTATACATATTATGGTGGAGAATTCAGGAGGGTGGAGTGGTTAGTGAAGTAAAATTATAAAGTAGATAAAATAATTTAATTCAGTAGATTTGAAGCCTTATTAGTGAGTTGAACTGAGTGAGTGAAAATCAAGATTGAGTGGAATGTTACGCAACAGACCAAAACACAAAAGCACATGAACAAAACAATTACGGTTACCAGGGTAGTGAGAGATTAGTCACACTATCTTTCTGTATGCATAGGTTGGGTCGAAGTCTTTTGATGTCAATGGCTTCCGCGAACGGAAGTAACCACGCTTTTCTTCGCATACTGATTATTTTGAAAGCCTGACAAATTTCCACTTAACGTCCCGTGTCAATTAGGTGTCCATCCTTGTTTCCAAGTGAAATCAGAACTCCACATATATATATATATATAAATTTTGTAACATATAATCGATTTATTTAGGATGTACGCAGTTGAGGAGAATCCATGGTAATAAAACGAGCTCGTATCATCAAAATTACAAATATGTTCGTACTTTCTTTTTTCCCCTCAGTTGTCAAGCTGTATCAATCCAGAATTCTGTTTATTGTTTGCACTTACTCTTGAACAAAATCAAAATTAGGAAGTAATAAGATACCATCGAAGGGTTAAACTCAGTCAGTTATCCTGTATGTCATGCTCATTCCCCGATCGATGCTGCTCACGATGACAGTGTATATCATCATCGTTTTGAATTCAAATCAATCAATACAAAACATCTTCCCTGTTTTTGACAACTCTTTTTGAATATACTCATGTAACAACAGAAGGCAAGACACGGAAGCTAAGGTGTATTTTTCAATGATCAAACCGTTGTTTATATTTATACAGTTTATATTCGTTAACCAATCACTGAGCGTGTGATTTCGGCTTACATTAAACGACATGAAATATGTAGTATTCTGTTGCTAACACAGTATTCAACCTTGAGAATATGTGAGAATAATATTCCGTTGGAACACAATGTCTGTATCACACCACCACACTCATACTAATACACTTATAGTCCTTTTGTCTGGTGGAAACCAAGACTAACAATTTCAAAATAGAACTTACAGTATAAAACTACCGATATTTAGATTAAACACTAAAGAGTAATTAATGGCATACTCCTCGAATTTGTAGTGTGATCACCAAGTTGTTGACGTGACATCGTACCAACTGAGTTTCCATAATCACAAATGACTAAATATTAATGTTTCATTCCAGCAATCAATGGCTCTGACTCCATGCTGTGTGGATGAAAGAAATACAACTGTATTTTATCATTACATTCGATAGCATGCAGGCTGCCCAAATCGCACTTAATCAGTTGGCGATCAGTATCTGTAAGTATGGTATGTGCTTTGCACCGTCTAAGTGCAAAGTACTGTTACAAGATTGGCAGGAGCCTGTACCTGCACTCACTCTTGCGGGTGAACCACTTGAAGTTGTTGATAAGTTTGTGTATCTGGGTAGTTGTGTGAGTGCTGGCGGAGGGGTGACGGATGAGATTTCCAACCGTATAATGAAGGCTAGGGTGGCATACATCAACTTCAGCCACCTCTGGCGCCGTCGCAACGTTAGCCTGGCTGTCAAAGGTCGGGTATACAATGCTTCGGTGCGGGCTGTCTTGCTCTACGCCTGTGAAACCTGGCCTCTCCGAGCTGAGGATGTGCGGCGACTCTGCGTGTTCGATCATCGCTGTCTCCACAGGATTGCTTGCGTTCGATGGCATCATCGCGTGAGTAATTCTGAGGTTCGGCGGCGTGTGTTTGAACACAGTGAGATCACCATTCATTGAGTGTCGTCATCTGGAAACACCGGCTCTGGTGGCTTGGACATGTGCTGCGAATGTCATCCCAGAGGCTTCCGTACAGGTCTCTGTTCGCTAGCCCTGGGACGGGATGGAAAAGGCGGAGGGGTGGTCAGTCCATGACGTGGCGTCGTGGGATGAAGGATATTTGTGCTAGATTAGCATCGGTTGGTGCGTCACGACTCCCTGGTTGGGGTCCGCGAGATAGCTCGAATCGATGGCTGGAAACGTTATCGGATATGGCCAAGAATCGTAATCAATGGCGAACATGTTGCAGTTTCCTTCTTTCTTCCCTTCCTGATGATAGTTAACGAATACTGTTTGAACTTGTTAAACATCACTGTTTTCCTTCCTGATGAAGCTTTTTATCCGTTTTCTACTTATATTTTTACTTTTAATCTATGTTGTTTTATTATTATTGTGTGGCGTATCTTTCTTGGTGCCATATTGTACCAAGTTTTTTCTGCGTTTAAATAAAATAAAAAAAATAAACCACAGTAACTCCTCGCCTACAAATATTTCTACACCCTCTTCTATTCTCCCTAGCCAAAGACAGAGGAAGAGGTATTAGACTGGTGGTCACATTTCGTGATCGACTCACAGAGAGAGAGAGTTTATCATCCAACTCAGTGAAGGTGAAGGGAACAAGAATACTGATCAGTGTTTCAGTCTCCAATCTCACTTAGAAGTGCCTCCGATCAATGCTTTGGAGGATGTCGATTCAATGTCTTCCGCTAATCACTCTGTTTGACAAATTCAATTATCCCGTCATTATCAGTAAATGACGTATCATCAGTACTTCATACAAATTAAACTTACAGAAATACATCCTGATAACATGCATCAAACAGCTGGAAGCCAAATGCATCAATTCCCTGCACACACGTTCATCATTACAAACTGTAGAAGAGCAAGAAAGAACACTGCATATGAATCCATTC